TGCCCCTGCCGCAGCATCGCTGGGGCAGGGGCTTACTGCCCCAGGGGGCTGACACGGGGTCCTGGGCCATGGGCAGGGTGGGGGGAGACCCAGGGGGGTTGGGCAGAGATAGTTAGGGTTTTGACAGGGCCTTGACAATTTCCCAGTTTTGTAAATTACATTTTTGGTTGCTGGTTGCTCAGTTTTTAATCTTAGTTCACTGTGAGAGTCCTGCAGATATATCTGTCTGGTAATGTAGCAGAGGAATCCCTCTTCCAAGGAACTGAATTCCCTTTGCCAGATGGAGTCGATATTTCCTTAGCTTTTGTGGTTTTCCAAAAGAGTGGTTGTGACAAGAGGTCGTGGAGCATGCTCTGTACAGATGTAGCAAGGACATCTACACCAGCAAAGAGGGTGTGGAAATCATATCTATGTAGCATAAATGTATTCATTGTCGAAAAAATGCAGCTTTAATAGTTTAGCAACAGGGTCATCAAGGGGCTTCTTTCCCCCAATCCTTCCATTCTAAAGTCATGGTTCTTCCCACTTGCCACTTATGTAACTGTCCCCAAAGAGGCCAATGGGAGCAAAACACTCCAGAAAACATACACTTGTTCATTACTTAAGAGTTCATGGCAGTAAGAGCTCCAGAAGTCCCAACCTACACCAAAGTGAGGAGGTTGCCAAAGTGTCAAAGGCCTTTCTGGCCTTGCTGTACAAATGTCAACACCATGGTAGCTGTGGTGGATCTAAACCCAGACTATCATGCTCTCCCTGTACACAGACATTTGAGGGTTCACACCCACACCACATATCCATGTCAAGCTCACTATGTCCCGGGAGGAGAGACCCTGCATTGGTCCTTCTGCCTCACCATTGAGCACCTCAGGGGCATCACTCACCATCTCAGGCCATAAAGCAGCCACAGGGATACCACCAGACTGGTGCTATGATGCCTGTGCACCGTCTCCCTCCTGGAAGGATGCCAGGCATTCACTTGAGGCATATGCACATTTTATTTGGTTGCATCAAGCGAAGCACACACCCTAGACCCAGCACACACCTAAGAATTACTACCTGAATGCTTGGAGATGCCAGGCAGATCTCTGGGGCATTTCTCTCTTTTCTCATGGGGAGGACTACAAGGATGTCATGACGTTATGCAGGGAGAAAATTAGAAGGGCCAAAGCCCAACAAGAACTTAATCTGGCTACTGCCATAAAAAACAATAAAAGATGTTTCTATAAATACATTAGCAACAAAAGGAGGGCTAAGGAGAATGTCCATCCTTTATCGGATGCGGGAGTAAACATAGTGACAAAGGATGGGGAAAAGGTTGAAGTACTTAATGCCTTCTTTGCCTCAGTCTTTAATAGTAAGACCCGTTGCTCTCCAGGTACCCAGCCCCCTGAGCTGGAAGACAGGGATGGGGAGCAGAATGAAGCTCCCATAATCCAAGGGGAAATGGTTAGTGACCTGCTACACCACTTAGACACACACAAGTCTATGGGGCTGGATCAGATCCACCTAAGGGTACTGAGGGAGCTGGCGGAAGTGCTCCCCAAGCCACTTCCAATCCTTTATCAGCAGTCCTGGCTAACCAGGG